ACAGTCTAGGCTGTGTCCTAGGATGTCTGGGCCACTAAATGCCACCCAGAAAATGCAGAAAGACGACTGCCCACTCAACATCTGAGTCCCTGTCTTGAGAGAGGGAGCTGCCTGCCTAAGAAGCATCTGCTCGAGGCCTTTGATTGTGAATGGCCCTCTGTCCACCAGATGTCTGTGTTTCCTACATCTCAGAGGCATTTTTCTGGAGCTCAGCATACCCTCCTCAGTTCTACATAAAGCCATGGGGCCTCTGTCCCCTGAGCTCCATGGGAGGACACAATCCTGATGTCAACCACAGCAGCAAACTGATATTGTAGACACTAGGCCACCCCTGGTAATCTTTCATTTTTCTTTAAACAATTTTATTTATTTTTATCTTATGTGTATGAGTGTTATGCTTGCATGTATGTAAGTGTACCGTGTCATACAGTGCCCGTGGAAAACTTTGGATCTCCTGGAACTGAGTTGTGGACAGTTGTTAACCACCATGTGGGTACTGGGATTTGAACCCGGGTCCTCTGCAAGAGCAGCCAGTGCTCTTAACCGCTGAGCCGTCTCTCCAGCCCCAAACTTTCATTTTTCTAACTCTGGAGCCCTTTGTCCTCCCCTCACTCCCTCACTCTCCCTTAGGGAAGCTCTTACCCCTGCACCAGAGAAGAGCCCAATCCCAGCAGACTGACTTCTCTGTAACAAGCTATCAGTCTACACCTGCCCTTGCTTCTCCCACCCCGATATATACCTCTCCTCTGTGCCTCCTGCCTTCCCCTCTCTCCTGGCAGTTACGGCCTGTATGAGCTGAATTTGACCTGGAATGAATCCTGCCCACGTTGCATCCCTACCTTACTGGCAGACCTTTGTAGGCAACTTGGGGCAAAACTGAATGGTGGGTGGCTGAGGCTTGAGGGGATCTTGGCTGAGGGGAGCAGCATTTTGTTGTAGGAAGGACATGAACTTTTAGGGACCAGAGGGCCAGATATTATAGGCTGACTCTATCCCTAGCAGATTTATCAGTTGACCCAGGACTTCAGACTATGTCTTTTTGCAGACAAGGTCTTTAAACAGGTCAGTTGTCATGAGGCGTAGGGAGACCCTCGCCCAGTCTGACTGAGCCCTTATGAGAAGAGGTCAGGACACAGACACACACAGAGGGATGGCCTGTGAGGACACAGGGAGGAGAAGGCGGCTACAAGCCAGGGAGGCCCCTCGGACCCGCCCCACGGACCCCTCCACCTGGGACTCCTGCCTCCGGGACCTGAGAAAATAAACATCTGCTCTGGAGGCTGTGCAGTCCGTGTCCTCTGTCACTTCGGCCCGAGGTCACGAGAGGCTCATGCTGCTGGCCTGCCACGGCCACCATGGGAGGCTCTGTCTGGCCAGCCTGAGGACCCTCTAGGCCTCATCCCTGCTCCCCAGCCTGACCAGGGCAGCAGGACAGCCTCTAGCTGGGAAGAAAGTGTCTGAGGGAAGAGAGAGGCCCAGGCTCTGGGTGGTTCGGGGCGCAGTACTGGTACTCAGTAGGGAGGAGCCCACCGAGGGAGGCCTGGGAGGACACAGGACAGGAGGTAGAGGGGCCAGCGTGGCTCACTGGTCTACCTAACTGTGCCTCGTTCCTGGATGCTAAGAACTGACAGAGCTGGTCCACACAGGAAGAGCACAGTGAGGTACAGAATACAGAAAACACATTTTATTGTCAAAAACCTCCAAACAACAAAAAACCAGAGAGAGACCTGAAGACATCAAAGGTCTCCAGATTAAGAAGAAAGCAGCTGCCAAAGCGACTCCTGGGTTCCGAGCACTTCCTGAGAGTCCGTGGGGGCAGGCGCCCATTTTTCCTTCCCCCTTTCCTTTGCCTTCCTGTCTGGAGACTCTGCTCATCAACCCAGAGGGGTGACAGAGAAGTAGACACAGGGCCTGGGTCCAGCGACCACCCCAGCCCTGTCCCCTCGGACATTTGCTTCAGCTGGCGTTTCTGACTGTAAGTGGCTCGGTCTGAACCCAGGCCTACAGGACAGGCCTGCTGTGCCACGGGTCTACTCCCAGTGCCCTCTGCACTTTTCCCTGATGTTTGTTGACCTTCTGTCTGGGATCTGCTCACCAGGCCTCCTTTCTGGGGGTCCTCTTGGCTGGTTACCCAGTCTGTGCTCTATGGCCTCTTCTTTTGTCCCTTTGAGGGCTCTGCAGAAGCTGTGCAGCCTGAGCCCTTCTCTAATATCTCCCAGGAGAGTGGCTGGGACCTCTAGGGAGGTAGCAGTGCCGTGGTCCTGAGGCTGTGAGGTTAGTCGTATCTGAGAATCCAGTAGGTGAATGGGTGACAGGAGGAGGTGTCTGCGTGAGGAGGCCCATCTCACGGTAGTTCTACCGCCCTAAGAAACAAAGGCTCTTTCCTGAGCCCATGGAATAGCCTGTCAGCACACAGCTGAGATGAAGGTCATCAGAGTGACCTTCAGAAGCCCTTCCTGGAGCTCTGTCTGGCCCCTGCTGGCCCCGGTCTTCCTGGAGCTCTGTTGTCTGGCCCCTGCTGGCCCTGGTCTTCCTGTAACCTTGGTGCAGATGTCTCCCTTCAAGGATCTGAAAACTTCACCCTCTCTAAGGAAACTGTGTGTGCGAGGACAGGACAGACAGGGCTGGCTCCAGGGCTGGTCCCTGCCCAGCTGAACACAGGCAATGTGGGCCCTCAGCAACTGATGGGTGAGTGCTCCACCATTCCGAGGTCTTGGATATCCTGGTGCTGGTGAGGGGACATATGGTCCTTCTGGCCCCAGCCAGTGTTCTGGCAACTGCTGTGGATGTATCTGATACTTGGATTCTTGGGACCTGAGGTCTGGGACAGAGCCTGCTGTCCATACGGTCCTTCAAAGGGGAAATGATCAAGGGTTGTTAGATCAGACAGGCGCAGGGTCAGAGGACAGTGTGGTCTCAGTGTCAAGCTGCATAGTAGTTGCATGGCGTCTTGCCGGGGCCTAGGAAGCCCGGAGTCCCCCAGAGGAGGTGCCCTAGGCCCCCTGCCCGATCATGTTTCTGTAATCAGGGGCAACGGCCTGCTTTAGCTCCACCACTGAAGAGAAGATCCACTTCACCTGTAGGGAGGGGAGGGTAAACCAGAGACCTGCACTTAGAGCCCCTCCATCCTATGGGTGAGCCAGAGCCCTTTCCACCTGCAGTCTCTCCAGACAGGTGGGAGACAAGATAGTAAGGGGCTAGGGCGGGATAGACAGTGTGGGGTCACTGTGGGGACAGTGTGGTGGTAGAATCAAGGATTGCGTTGGGCTAGGGTGAGGACAGTGGAAGACACCATGTGGACTGTGTGGAAGAAAGCACTGGACAAATACACTATGGGAGGGTGTTGCGTGGGACGTAAGACAGTGTGGTGACTGGGGTCAACATGGGGTAGCGTCAGAGACAGAATGTCAGACAGCATGGGACACTATGAGGAGTCACACAGGTTGGTGCAGGGGCAGCACAGAAAATAGTGTGGGCTAGAGTGGGAAACGGCAAAAGAAAACACGGCAGGAGAGGGTGAGGCCATCACGGGGCAGCGTGTGAACAGAGGATGATTTGGGGGACAGCATGGGCATGATGGGGACAGCGTGCACATTGTGGGACAGTGGGGGAACAGGTGGAGGCAGCACGTCCAACCTTGAAGAGAGTGACCGTGGCGCTGTAGCACACGCTGAGCAGGAAGAGGGTAATGAAGATGGTGATGGTCGTCCAGAGCCCGTCCAGCTCCCCGTCCTGGGCCTCGACACAGGTCTCATCCAGTTCTATTCCTGGACAGAGAGGGGGTGGTCAGTGTTTGTCCCACCGAGATGGGGCTGGGGGTGATTCTCTGTGTGGCAGGATGAGGCAGCGGGAAGGACCAGGAGAAAGGGCCAGCTGGGCTGCCAGCAGACCTGCCCTGGGACTGGCTCTCCTTTCTACCTATTCTGGGTCGCAGCCTCAGTTCCCCCAACTGCTCTAGCTTAAGCCTTGAGATCTTCTAGACCTGGCAGTGGCCCAGTGTGCACAGGAGCCCTCCCTGTCTGCCCCACCCCTTGGCTCTGGGCTGGCTGGCCTGTGTCAGGGCCTGTAGCCCCTCCTGGCAGTGACTGTGCAGTCTTCCTGCCCGCTGCTTGTCCCTTGGTCAATGGAAGAGCCATGCCTGGACTCAGAAAACACCCACACTGTGAAGTGATCCAGGCCACACAGTGAAGGGCTGTGTCATTTGTATGGAATAGAAGCATGAGCCCGAGGGTCCAGGTACAAACTGAGCTTGTGGGGACTTGTGTTGGGGGAAGTGTGTAGGTGCCCCCAGAAGAGAGAGCTATGTCTGACTGTGACTGTGCTGACCCTAATAAGGACATTGAGGTGGGCCTGGGGGTACCCTAACACCCTGCTGGGTGCAAATGTTTAAGGCCCTATTGTGTTCGACTTGTATGTGCACATGGACATGTGTATGCCTTATGGGCTGGGTGGTCATCAGCAGGCTGGTTCTAATGGGTCTGGGTTCAGCATCCACATGAGTATCTGGTGGTCCCTCCTCTGGGGAAGCAAGGACCACCTGCCTCAGCATCATGTAGCACAGGAGTGAGTGCACTGTGGGTTGGCAGTATTCTCATAGGTGTGCAGAGATGCCTGGGCCGAGTGTAGGGATAGCCAGGGTCTCTGGCACACGCATGACTATGCATGCCTCTGTTGAGACTGTTGGACAGGGAGGTAGGAAGGGAATCAAGAACAGACTGAGGGAGGTGGGGCTTGTGTGCACCTTTCTTTGAGGCTTTCCTGGGGGCATCTCTCTGTTCAGCAGCTGCTATAGTGGGAGGGAGAGGAAAAGGGACTGCCTAAGGCTAAGACCCCATACTTCAATGAGGCGTGAATTCTGTACAGACCAAGAAGACTCCTGAGCTCTGGGTCAAGCAGTACAGAAACCACAATCTCTCCCTAATGACAACTCAGGCCTTGAACCCTGGCTGGACCCCAGAGCCCATGACCTATTCTCTGTATCTCAGAAAGAACCAGGACAGTTTCACAGGGTCCCAGGGCAGTCCTGGGTGCTTTATTTATACAGGGAATGGGTGGGGGTGGGTGCCAGTGTCCCTTAGGGCCTGAGGGCTTGCTAGGTGCTAGGCTCATTTACCCGGAGACCGGGAGATGGTCTTCTGCATGTGGTGGTTGTGCAGAGCCTCGTGCACCACAGAACAGGTGTACATTTCACCCTCTTCCCAACTTCTCTTGTTCACAGTGAGCTTGCTGTAGAGGAAGTAAGAACCATCGACATCCAAGACGGGCTTGGTGTTCCTGAAGTTCTGCACTGGCTGTCCGTTGCTCTGCCACTCCACATCGATGTCCTGAGGGAAGAAGCCCATGATCATGCAGGTCAAACTGACCTCATTCTTGGCCAGTTGTTCCCGGGGTGGAGGAAAGGTGTACACCTGTGGCATTCGGGCTTGCCCTGTGGGGAAAGAAGCAGGCACAGAGGTCATTGCCAAGGTGGAGTGCTGCCTACTCCAGGCGTCATTGTGTGCCCATCGCATCCCCGTCCCATCAGCTCATATAACCAACCTTTGGGTTTAGAGATGGTTCTTTCAATGGGAGCTGGGAGGGCTCTGCTGTTGACCTTGCACTTGAACGTGTTGCCCTTCAGCCAGTCCTGGTGCCTGATGGGGAGGACGCTGACCACACGGAACGTGCTATTCTCCTGCTCCTCCCGGAGCTGTGTCTGTGCTGTGTGCAGCTCCACATTATTCATAAACCAGCTGAACTGGACCTCGGGGTCATCCTGGCTCACGTCCACCACCACACAGGTGATCTTGGGGGTCAGGGAGATCAAGAGTGCGTCCTTGGGCTTCGGGGGGAAGATGAAGGCGGATGGTCCCCCCTGGAGATCAGGAGCTGGTGATGAGAGATGGAGATGGGTCAGCACCTGGGCCACCCTCCAACGTAGGGATGCTTAGGACATTTGTCATCTTCCTGGGACTGGAGAACAAGACCTGGTGACTCACCTGGACACTTGGGACACTTGTGTGTGATGATGCTTCTGGGCTCTGCAGAGAGAAAGTTGGGTGTTACTGAGGTCTGGAGGAAAAGGTACCGAGGAAGGGAACAGTGTATATGATGTGGGCTCAAGTCAGAAATGATCCTTGGCAGGTCAAGACCCACATCCACCTTTGTGTGTCCAGGATATGCAACGTGGACATCTATCCCAGAGGACCCTTCCAGAGATTGGGTAGAGGTCTCCAGGAGGGAGACAGACAGGACCCCCTGCTGCCCTGGGCTGAGATCCCCTTCCTGGCCATGGCTGCCCAGCCTGGTTGGTCTAGACAAGAGAATGGCTTAAGCTGGATCTTGGGTGGACTCCTCCTTCCCCAGTCATCTTCTCACCAATTTTCTTGTCCACCTTGGTTTTGCTTGCCGGGTGGTTTACATTGCATATGTAGGTCTGGCTGGGCCAGGTGCTAGAGGACACAGTTGCTGAGCTGCTGAGGGTGTAGAGTCCGGACTGCAGGACAGCTGGGAAGGTGTGTACTCCGCTGGACAGGGCTCCGGAGTTCCAGGTCACGGTCACTGGCTCAGGGAAGTAGCCCTTGACCAGGCAGCCCATGGTTACTGTGGAGCCAGAAGTGTCCCCACAGCCGGGGGCCAAAGGAAAGACAGATGGGGCCGTGGTGCTGGCTGCAAGAGAAGGGGAATGTGTCAGCTTGTCAGACATGGCTGGGGTCAGACACCTGAAGGACTTTTTGTCTTCAGTCCTCTTAGGGCCCTGGCCCTCTGCACAGATAAAGTAATATCTAGTACGTGGACTCCTCTCCCACCTGGCCTCACAATATCCACTCTTCACGCCAGGATTACCAGGTTTGTAAGGCCTGTGGCACTCAGAGCTCAGCTCTGTCCCCAGTGCAGTTCTAGAAAGCTGCTGGATCGACTTTCTAGAGTAGCTATCTGGTCCCGCTCTATGCCCTCTTGTGCCTAAGCCTCATGGCTGCACACATATTTGCAGGCCAGAACTCAATAATAAACTGTACTCAGGGTAGCTCTGGGGCCTCTAGCCCCTTCTGGCTCTACCTGCCCAGCCATATTGGCTTTTGCTGATCCCTGGGCTGTTGGTGCCTGCCTGGTGGCCTCTGTTCTTGTGTCCCCTGAGCTTTTCACAGTCCCAGAACCCAGGTCTTAGCTTTGCCCTGCAGGTTGTGTCTTCTCAAGTTGAATCTGAGCCAAGTAGGGTCAGCATCTTCCACCCCTCGGCCCTGGACTCTGATCTTGCACCGACAACCATCCCCATCCATATGAGCTCCTTCTCAGCCTACTACCCTGCTGTAAGCTGTGGCTCCTAAGTCTGTGCTCTGGGCCCCTGCTCCTGATCTTAACCCTCTTCAGGTCTTCCTCCTTGTTTGTAGAGGTTTACTGCTAAAACTCCTGCTGTATACCTTCTGAGCATGGGCAGCCTGTCCTGTCCTGAGCTGCTGGCCACAACTCTGCTCCTGGTCTCATGTTGAGACCCCGATGAGGTCATCCCTGCCCCCTCCCTAACTTAGTCTTCACATTGCTCTGGGTCTTCCTTTCCCCACATAGTGCTACTGTTTCTGGCCCCTTTCTCTTTTTAGTGATCCCAGTCCTTGAGAGTGGAGCATACCCCCCTCTTCAAGAGCATGGCCAGTTCCCCACACCTTTTGATACTGGTTCTCCTGAGGGCTCTGCTGGCCTCCCCCATAAGCCCCTGTACCCTAGTCTCTGGAACTCCCTGCTCAGGCCCAACAGGCACCCAACCTCCCTTCTGTGGGCTGACCCTGTGCACCCTACAATTCCGTAGCAGGTTTGGCTCTGTTACCCTATGTTCCTGTAAGTCTCCAGGATCATAGCTAGGGGACCGATTACCAGAACTTCAGCCTGTATGGTTCCTAAAGGAGTGTCACCCTGGGGTCCTTCCCTGTCCAGGTCCCTGCTCAGTCAGAGGCCCCCAGGACTGCTTCTCTCTTCAGACACGCTGCCCTTCTGCCTGAGTTCAGGCAGAGCCCTGAGCCCTTCCCCTTTGACTTCTCCTCTGCTTCCCTTCTCTTTCTGTTCCTCTTTCCTTTCCCTGTCCAGCTTGCACACAGCCCTCTGCCTTCCCCCAGCCCTCACTCTTGTCCCTGCCAGGAGGTTTGTACAGAGAGGCCCCTGTCTCCCTGAGCACCCAGGGCACCCAGCAGCACTACTCGGGGAGCTTCTCAGTGTCCTCTGTCCTCCTGGACCCGGAAGGCCTCACGCTCTCCCTTTAGCTCTGGAATCTTCCAGAGCTGGTCACTTGTTCCACTGGGCTGCCTTTGCTCTCCTTGGTCAGCTGACCTGGGTCCACCAGCCAACAGATGCTCAGCCCCTTTCCCACCATCAAAGCAGATATCTGGATCAGACCCAGCCCTGACCTTGCTGTTCTGTCTGCTCTCCCTCCCAGTGTGAGGTCAGAGCATCTTACCCTCCCTTCTGCCACTGGGCACACCACGCTCATCACCTGGCCTCAGCCCTGTTCCTCACACCCCTGACTCTGGTGCCTAGTAGTGTCAGCTCCCAGGCTGGCTCATATGGCTCCTGCCATGGTGACCTGAGACCTCACCGGCCCTTGAAGCACACAGAAGCCCTTGCTGGTCACAGCTGTCCTACCCCTTCTGCCCCGCTACCCTGAGTTCTGGCTGCCCTAGTGGCCAGATCCTGGACAGGATAACGCAGATATCTCTTGGCTCTCATCCCTCCTGACCTGAGCTCCCAGAGCCCTCAGGTATCCTTGCTGTGGGCATCCACTCAGCTCCTAGTAGGGAGCTTTGGGGTATCCTGGACCCCCACTCACCTTACTTTCTCTAGTGCTCCTGTAGCTGCTTGATCTGGTCTCTTCTCTCACCTGTCCCAGCTCATCTGTAGCTCCAGGGCCTGCTCCTCCGCACACCCAGAAGTCCCAGACCTCCAGAACCTGCTAGACCCCTTCTCTCACTGAACAACCAGTCCCAGTGCCCCAGGAGCTTCTGGGATGGACCCTCCACATGGTACTGGAACTGGCCCCCCACCCCCCCAATAGCTCTAGCTCCCCAGTAGCTGCTAGAACCTGTCCCCCACACTTCCACCAGCTCCCAGTTCCCCAGTAGCTGCTGAACTGCACCCCCATACTCCCAACAGCTCCAATTCCCCAGTAGCTGCTGGAATTGGTTCCCCACACTCCCACCAGTCCTCAGCTCCCCAGTAGGTACTGGAACTGGTCCCCCACACTCCCACCAACCCTCCCACTCTCCTGTAGGTACTGGAAGTGGTTCCCCACTTTCCCACCAGTCCTCAGCTCCCCAGTAGCTTCTAGAACTGGTCCTCCCCATTCCCAACATCTCCAGCTCCCAAGAAGCTACTGGATCTGGTCTCCCATACTCCCACCAGCCCCAGCTCCCCAGTAGCTGCTGGAACTGGTCCCCCACACTCCCACCAGCTCCAGCTCCCCAGTAGGTACTGGAACTGGTCCCCCACACTCCCACCAGCCCTCCCACTCTCCTGTAGGTACTGGAAGTGGTTCCCCACTTTCCCACCAGTCCTCAGCTCCCCAGTAGCTTCTAGAACTGGTCCTCCCCATTCCCAACATCTCCAGCTCCCAAGAAGCTACTGGATCTGGTCCCCCACACTCCCACCAGCCCCAGCTCCCCAGTAGCTGCTGGAACTGGTCCCCCACACTCCCACCAGCTCCAGCTCCCCAGTAGGTACTGAAACTGGTCCCCCACACTCCCACCAGCCCCAGCTCCCCAGTAGGTACTGGAAACTGGTCCCCTACACTTCCACCAGTCCCCAGCTCCCCAGTAGGTACTGGAACTGGTCCCCTACACTCCCACCAGTCCCCAGCTCCCCAGTAGGTACTGGAACTGGTCCCCTACACTCCCACCAGTCCCCAGCTCCCCAGTAGGTACTGGAACTGGTCCCCTACACTCCCACCAGTCCCCCACTCTCCAGTAGCCTCTGGAACTGGTCCCCTACACTCCCACCAGTCCCCAGCTCCCCAGTAGGTACTGGAACTGGTCCCCTACACTCCCACCAGTCCCCAGCTCCCCAGTAGCTCCTGGAACTGGTCCCCATACTCCCACCAGCCTCCAGCTCTCCAGTAGGTACTAGAACTGGTCCCCCACACTCCCACAAAACCCCAGCTCTCCAGTAGGTACTAGAACTGGTCCCCTACACTCCCACCAGTTCCTCACTCTCCAGTAGCCTCTGGAACTGGTCCCCCACACTCCCACCAGCTCCAGCTCCCCAGTTGCTGCTGGAACTGGTCTCCCACACCCCCACCAGCCCCCAGCTCTCCAGTAGGTACTGGATATGGTCCCCCATGCTCCCACCAGCCCCTAGCTCTCCAGTAGGTACTGGATATGGTCCCCCATGCTCCCACCAGTCCCCACTCTCCAGTAGCCGCTGGAAGTGGTCCCCCACACTCCCACCAGCTCCAGCTCCCCAGTAGCTGCTGGAACTGGTCCCCCACGCTCCCACCAGTTCCCAGCTCTCGAGTAGGTACTGGAACTGGTCCCCCACACTCCCACCAGCTCCAGCTCCCCAGTAGCTGCTGGAACTGGTCCCCCACGCTCCCACCAGTTCCCAGCTCTCGAGTAGGTACTGGAACTGGTCCCCCATACTCCCACCAGCTCCAGATCCCCAGTAGCTGCTGGAACTGGTCCCCTACACTCCCACCAGCCCCCAGCTCTTTAGTAGGTATTGGAACTGGTCCCCCACACTCCCACCAGCCCCAGCTCCCCAGTAGCTGCTAGAACTGGTCCCCCACATTCCCACCAGCCCCCACTTCCCCAGTAGGTACTGAATCTGGTCCTCTGCACTCCCACCAGCTCCCAGCTCCCCAGTAGCTGCTGGAACTGGTCCTCTACCTTCCCAGAAGCCTCCAGCTCTCCAGTAGGTACTGGAACTGGTCCCCTACACTGCCTCCAGCCCCCAGTTCTCCAGTAGGTACTGGAACTGGTCCCCTACACTCCCACCAGCCCCCAGCTCTCCAGTAGGTACTGGAACTGGTCCCCCACACTCCCACCAGCCCCAGTTCTCCAGTAGGTACTGGAACTGGTCCCCCACACTCCCACCAGCCCTCCCACTCTCCTGTAGGTACTGGAAGTGGTTCCCCACTTTCCCACCAGTCCTCAGCTCCCCAGTAGCTTCTAGAACTGGTCCTCCCCATTCCCAACATCTCCAGCTCCCAAGAAGCTACTGGATCTGGTCCCCCATCCTCCCACCAGCCCCAGCTCCCCAGTAGCTGCTGGAACTGGTCCCCCACACTCCCACCAGCGCCAGCTCCCCAGTAGGTACTGGAACTGGTCCCCCACACTCCCACCAGCGCCAGCTCCCCAGTAGGTACTGGACAGTAGGTACTGGATATGGTCCCCCACACTCCCACCAGCCCCCAGCTCTCCAGTAGGTACTGGAACTGGTCCCCTACACTCCCACCAGCCCCCAGCTCTCCAGTAGGTACTGGAACGGGTCCCCCATTCTCACCAGCACTACCTTTCCTAGGAGCTGTTGGAACTGTTCCCCTACAACCTCACCAGCCTTACCTAGCTCCCCAGTAGCCTCTGGTACTGGTTCCCCACACTCCCACCAGCTTCCGTTCCCACACAGTTGTTTGGCCTTGTCCCCTACACTTTTATGAGCCCCAGTCCCCTACAGCTGCTCAGCCTGGTCCCCACGGTTCCCGTGGCTGCCTTACCCCATCCACCTTTC